TATGTGATAAGTTAATATTGCATAAAGTCTTGGTAACGTAGGTATACATAGACTTTATCAATTTATAATACATGACGTTAGTATTATAAATTGATACAATTATATTATTATTTATTAATTAATTATAAAAAAATAAGTAATTTAGTATTCACAATATAAAATAAAATAATCCTAAATATAAAATTAAATCGCATTAATATGATACAAATATACAATAAATAAAATAAAAGATAACAATCCTAAAAAATAAGATATAAATAATGAAATATAAAAAAGAAAATAATTTAAAAAAAATCAACTCAAATGTGATATTGTAAAGTAAACGGTATCAAGAGATTTTAAATAAATAAAATAAAATAAAATAATTTAAACAAAGTTAACATAAAAAATAAAATAAATAATAAAAACTCATTCATTAAATAATTAATAATTATCATAATAACAAATAATAATGATGATGAATAAATAAATAAAACTAAAACAATAAATTATATGTTGAACTAAATAATGATAAAAATATAATAAATAAAAAAATTCGGACAAAAAAATAATAAAAAAATAAAAAAAGGATAAAATGGTCTCAAATTTTAAATTTTCAGATTTGAGAGGGAAGGACTTTAGGGTTAGGGGTGTGCTTTTCTCCAAGAAAAACAAAAAAAGGTTATGAAAGGGTGGAGGTGAGGTTAATGGAGGCCATGGTTTTGAGTGGTGAAGGTTATTGAGAGCAAAAGGAAGAGGAATGAGACAAGGTAGGGAAAGAGTTTCTTTATGGTGAGTTTTGTGTTTGTGGATGATGATAGATGGAGGAATGGGTGGAGAGGTGGTGAGACATGGATATTTGAAATGGTGGTTTAAAATATTTTTTTATCATTTGAGATTGATTTGATGTAGGAAATGTTTATTCAAAATATAAATATGTATGAAGAAGAAAAATGTGTAAAATGTATGATGAAGCTTACTTGATGTTCTTGAAAATTTTTGCTTGCCTCTTGTTCTTCCTCCTTTCCACTAACCTTTCTTTCTCTCTATTTTCTCTTTTTCTCTCCCCGTTTTAGAATGCCTGCTCTCAAAAAAATTTTAGCCTCCTCTGATGTCTCCCCTGCTCTATGGTCCTTTTTTCCTTTTATTGTTAGGGTTTTCACAAAAGGCCAAAAATTCTGAATTTTTCCTTTTTTATGTATAAAGTAACATTGGTTCAAGAATTTAATTATTTGTCATATTCTATTTTCCTTTTAAAAATTAATTCTAAAATTTTCCTATTTTATTAAGACAAATTTTTGTTTTTTTTTTTTAAAACCTTTTGATTCCATTCTTCTTTTGTAATATTAAAATTCAGATTTTTTATTTTTTTATTTTTCATTTTTATTTTTATTTTAAAAAAAATTTAAATCAAAATTTTAGTGTTCACATTTATAATACTTGAAAAAATCAACTTACTAATAGGAAAAAAAAATCAACTTACTCATAACATAATTTATTGACTTTAAGACATTATTTTTAAAATTAGTTGAAAAATTGATAAGCATAAATGACATAAGATGATATGAAAGATAAAATTATTGTAAGAAATAAAAAAAGGACATAAAAATAAAATTATGATAAGAAAGTGAGGATAAAAAAGCATAAATTTATAACTTTAAATGATACATAAAATAGTCTTTAAACAAATATTATAAAATAATAATATTAGCTTACTTATTAAACAAGTTTAATTTAGTCAAACAAATTTTAAATTTAGTTAAATAAGTAAAACAGTTAACTTAAACGTCTTGTCGTATGCTTCCTAACGAAGTGGGCAATGCCTGTGTGAAAACGAGGATGCATAACTTTTAATGATATTTTTCGATTCAAATAAAATTAATTTTAATCTTCTTCTAGGAATCACTTCTCTTGTAGAAATGAGTCATTAAGCTATCTCATCTTTTGTTACATCCTTGATGATTCAAGTTAAACATAAATTTTGCTTTTGAGATAAAAAAAGAAGAAGAAGAAGAAAGTAATAGCAATCTTAATTATAATCAACCTAATAGTGTTACTGTTGTTTTGGGAGAAAACCGCTTATTTTATCGTCCAAAGACACAAGTTTTATCATTATGGTTCTTAAGATTTTTTTTTATCAGTACTCATTTAATAATGTAAAGTGTCATTACTTAAGTTTTTTTAAAATATTATGACATTAAGTTAATTTAATTTTTCAATCATGCAAAATATAATCAAAATATTCCCTAAATCAGGAGTATAATACACTTATTTTTTGACATTTTTTTATGATTGAAACGCTATATTAATAATAAATTAAAAAGAAATAAAGTAACGAGAAAATATGGTTTATTCTTATTTTGATCTCAAACCTGTATGGGTCGAAAACAGGGCATTGGATATTGTTGTTCTCACTGGGCGTGGGAATTTATTTATTTATTTATTGGTCCTTACTTACTCCGATCTTTGGTTTTTGTTTTGTAGTGTTTTTTTTTTTTTGGCTTTTTTGCCCTTTTAGGGTTAATTTGAAAAGAAAATGCCAGAATAAGCATGCATGTAAAGAAATTCCCTGTCTAGGATTGTGTGGGCACGTGGCAGTAAAGTCGTCCATGAGACGGACGACACCAAAAAGTAAAAATGTCCAATTACCAAATGACAATAATTTGAATGGACAACTGGGGATGAACAAAGCCACGTGTACAAATCTTACAGAGTCGTCTGAGTCAGAGGCGACGTTAATGTCGGTCGTGTCAGAGACGATTCAGTAGTGTCGTCTTGGTCAGGGACGACACTAATTTAATTGATTCACATGGCAGAGAATTTTGACCGTTTGGGCGCAGACTTCTCCCTTCTCCTCCATCTTCTCCGTTTCGCTTGCAAAATGTGGTTGCTGGAAAAAAAACAACACAGCGTTTCTGAACCATTTTGTTAGATTCTGGTATTAAGGTTTTATAGTAAAAGATTATTAAAAAGGTATTGAGATTAATATTTTGAATAGATTTTTCTTTTTAACAATAAAATTGCAAATGTATGTAATATTGAATCTGTGATGCAGGTGAAATTGTAGGTGGATGCTCATGAGTGAAGTGTGCTGGTGAAGAAGAAGGTTCCTTCAAACTTGTTTAAAAAGCTACGGAGGTGCACAAGTTTTTTATTTTAATATTTAAAGAATTTATTAATTAATTTTTTTATTCTGTCACAAATAATATATTAGATAAATTATATTAGAAAATATATAATATATATGTTATTATTTATTATAATTAGTAGTTTAGAAATGTAAAAAAAAAATTATAGTAATCCATAAAATATATTAATTATAAAATTTGAAATAAAATAATATTTTAATAACTTGATAAATTAAGAGAAAAGAATAATATATATAAATATATTGTTTAGAAAAAAATAAAAAACATGAACATGAAAAAGTATATACAGAATGCACTGAAAATATTAAATAAATAATGTAGAAGAAATAATAATTGTAAATTATTTGATAGTAGATTGATATATAAAGAAATTAGTGAAATAAAAATTATTAGATATAGTAAATTTAATATAATTATTAAGAAGTAAGATAATGATTGAATAATTATAATAAATAAAGAATAATAATTTGATGAAAATGAACATAAAAGAAGTTTTATTATTAGTAAGAATGTAGTATTTAATTTGGTAAAAAATAATACATTATTATCTTTTACAAATTTTATAATTTATTTGATTTACTTGAAAGGATTTTATAAATAAGGTATAAAATTGGTTTTAAAATGCATTTTATTCTTAAACAAAGAATATTTTAGATAGGAATGAAATTAAAAATTATATAATGTATGTGTTATTATTTATAATCATTTGTTAAAAAATGTAATAAATAAAAATTATAGCCATCCATAATATGTATTAATTATTAAATTAAAAAAATTCTGCAGATAATAACTTGATAAATACATAATATGTATTAATTATTAAATTAAAAAAATTATGCAGATAATAACTTGATAAATTAAGAGGAAAGAATACTATATATTAATATATAGTTTTGAAAAAAATAAAAAACATGAACATGAAAAAATATATATAGAATGCACTAAAAATATTAAATAATTAATGTAGAAGAAATAATATATTTTAATTATTTGATAGTAGATTGATATATAAAAAAATTAGTGAAATTAAAAATATTAGATATAGTAAATACAATGTAATTATTGAATAATTATAATAAATGAAGATAATAATAATTTTATGAAAATTAACATAACAGAAGTTTTATTATTACAAATTACATAATATATGTGTTATTATTTATAATTAGTTGTTTAAAAATGTAATCAATAATATGTATTAATTATTATATTAAAGAATTTCTATTTTAATTAATTGATAAATTAAGAGAAAAAAATATTATATATTACTTGATAACTTGTGAGAACTATTGTCAAAATTAATATTCTTTATAATCCAAAAAATAAAACATCTTTAAATTTTTTTTTGCCAACCCTTAACATAAAAACTTGTACAAAATTTTAGAAACAATGTTTTTCTTTTATTTCTTGTCCAGCATAATTATTGAATCGTTTAAAATTTGGAAAAATTAATATAAAAATGAAATTAAACTTTAAATAGGAGTAAACTTTAAGTATTGTGAGGGAACACTTTAATGAAATTAAGAAAATAATAATTTTGTGGTTGAATTACAGAAAGAAAAAAGTATATTAAAAATTATATATAATATTTAAAATAATATATTTTTTTATTTGTTGTAATTGTAAATTTTGATATTTAAAAGAGTGCATGTAATTATATTTATTGCTACATATTATAATTGTAAAATAAAATGTAAAAGTTTTTAAAATGTTAATAAAATTTAACAATATAATAATTAAATGAAATAAATTTTAGAGTTATTTTTAAATTTTGAAATTGTAACAAAACCCATGTACTAATTGAATAGAGTTTTTGATATTATTAATTTTAACATACATAATTGAAGTTTAAGTTGACAAATTTCATTTCAGATGGCATCATCTTCATCACGGAGTAGGGTTTTAAATCCTGGGCCGGAGGATGGTTCATTATTGAGGTTTCAGTCTGTTCACGTATCGGAGCATATTTGGGATGGACGTGAGCACCTAATTCTGAAGGTGAGAAGGAGTCATTTCATACCGGCTGGCATGGAAGGGGTTCCAATGGAGATTCTTCCTCATCTGACCTTAGCTGGATTTGCTGGGGTAGCTCAGTTGGCATGCTTTCCTATTGACCGACATCTAATTACAGCATTGGTAGAAAGATGGAGGCCAGAGACTCATACGTTTCACATGCCTCCTGGAGAATGTACTATAACTCTTCAGGACATTGTTATTCAAATAGGGCTTCATATAGATGGAAAGGCAATCATTGCAGCTGTTGGAGGTAATAAAGCACAAATTGTGGAGGATTTGCTTGGTATTAGGCCACTTGATGATGCTTTTGCAGGGAGTAGTTTGAAGTTGAGTTGGTTGGACCAACACTTTACTCATGTTGCAATGCATAATCATAATGAACTTCAGCTTACTCGCTTTGCGAGAGCTTATATTCTGAGGTTAATAGGTGGTTTCATGTTGGCTGATCATTCCTCTAGTAGGGTTCCAGTTAGGTACCTTCCATTTGTAACGCCCCGATTCTCCTGATTCAGCTAGCGACCGTTGAATTGTACTTGCTTGCTTACTCTGCTTCTTTAGTATCGAAATAATTAGATGGAGGTTAAATAAAATTATTTTATTTTATTTTGATAAGAATATTGAATTATTTCTAAGTTCGGTATTTTAAGGTAACTGCATGCAAATAGATAGTTTCAATATCGTCCAAGAATTTCTTGAGTATGTTCAACTGTACTGTTCACAATGCCCCTGATAATTTTACCCCGAAAGTTAAAATTTTATCTTATTTAAATTGTCAAATCAAAGGTATTCGCCTTGAAAAACGTGAGATTTTGTAATCATTGCTAAGATTTTGTAATCATTCCTTAGCCGTCAAAATTCTACACGGAATCTCACGAAATCTAGAAATCATTATTGTAAAGATTTCCAAATCTAGTATCGACCACTAGAAATTCATGCAAAAGATTATTGCCTCCCAATTAGTACACAAAATTATTCCAGAACTTTCTAATCATGCCTTCTAAAAGGCCGGCATCATGATTACTCCAATTAAATCCTTTTCTTGAAATCTGCACCATGTCAAATGTCCCTTCGAAAGTCAATCTCATCACATCAAATTCCTCGTCGGCCAATCACATTGCATGCAATTGCTGCCTAGAATCTAGCCTTTGGAATTTTGCGAAATTCTTGGAATGTTTTACTCCAAACCGTGTGCATGTAGCCTCCACACTCCTCCATACATTTTGCTTGCCAAAATGTGATTGCTTAACTTACAAGTTTGCAAAAGAATTCACTATTCATGCACAAAAAATCGTGACACCCTTATTATTCAAGTTTTTCACCAAATTCCACTTCCAAATTGCTTCAAATTAATTTGGTGCAGTTTTGCATTTGAATATTGCCCCACAAAGCCCAAACCGTGAGCATTAAGTTCTAATTGGCAAAGGGAAATTAAACACTCCATATAAATAGACCAAACCACCTCATTTTCTCTCTTTTTTCACTCAAAAACCGTGAGCCCTCCACCCTTCCTCTCAAAAATCTTTTCAAGTTCCTATTCTCTCCATTTCTTCAAAGAAACCGAGACCCTCCCTCCCTAAATCTCTCAAAAAATTCTCATCCTCTCAACCTTCCAAGACAAGCCAAGGAGCTCCAAGCTTTCACTTTTGCATTCTCTTGCTTGATTCTTCAAAACTGTGACCATTCCTTCAAAGAGGTAAGCTTTCTCATCCTTTTTCCTTCTTTGATTTGAAGATCCATGGAAGCATAACACCAAAAACTCCTAAAAAGCTTCCTTTTTCACTTGATCCTAACCATTTGAAGCTTTTCCCCTTTTTCTCTTCAAAGAACCGAGGGAGACAACCTAACCAAGAGGGGAAAGATTGAAGTTTGAGACTCATCCTCTCGGTCCAGCAACTCTCCTTTGAAGAACCAGCCAAGATCAACTCCTTTTGCTCCTAAATTTTCGTCACAATCAAGGCAAAGGGGAGTTCTCACAATTGATGTGTTTGCATGTCCATCTCTTGGCTGTTTTTACACATTTTTCCTTGAAAAAAAAATAGTGTGTGTTGGACTGCATGTTGGAAGAACTTCAAATCTGAACTTGCATGTTAAGTTTTATCCAAAAAGAGTATGGATTTCCTTGTTTGCATGTCTCGGTTACCTCCTAAAGAGTTTGATTTCACTTTTAATCAACTTTAATTCCTAAAAAGCTTGAAACTTTGATGTGTGGATGTGGATCTTCCCTTGTGCATGTCTCGATTTTTATGTTCCCTTGGTGGAACCTTTGAATTAATGACATTTCCTTCTTGAAACCATGAACTGTGAACTTGATCAACATATTCTTTCACTTGCATGTTAATTTTTAACCATGAAATGCTTTGGATCTCTTTGTGCATGCCTCGGTTTCACTTTGTTTGGCTGGATTCTTTGCTTAAAATGTTGATTGATCCTTGTAAGCAATGAACCTTGGATTGCATGTGAAATGGAAGCCATTGCATGTTGATTTCAGCCCCTAAGTGTCTTGGTTTTCCCTTAGAAATTTGAATGTCACTTGGAAATAATGCCCCTCCACTTGGACGATGAAACTATGTCATTGCATGTTAGTTTCCTTTATGTTACATAATTTTTAATTTGATAAAAATCTAGTGGAAAAGCTGGACAGATTTGATCTTGCATGGAAAAAGCCTAGAATATTGAACTACACTTAGAAATTGAAAACCGTGTTGGACTTTGTGTAATTTGCATGAGAATGGTTGCTTGTTAGTTTGGATGATGGATGATTGAATTGATTGTGATGGATGTGTTCACTTGGTTTGAAAAGCTTTATGCATGTGGTGTTTTGGAAATTTGTGGTGGATAAGAAAGTGAGAACTATTCACTCTCGGTTTTGATGATGAGAAATCCTAAAAGTTGTACTTAAAATTGTGATAATTTTGATGAAATATGGGTGATAAGGACTGCATAATGATAGGGTGTGTTTGCTGTTTGCACTTGAATCCGTGAGCACTAAGATGAATCATGCATCATGTTCATTACATTATACAAGGAATAAAAGGAGAGAATCAAGCGCAGCCCTTTTTGATGGAAAGTTTACCTAAACAAAAAGGATAGTAATTAAAGGTATGAAGATGGTAATTAAGGGACTGAATATAGTAGTTAATCAATAAAAGTCATCCTTAGAAAGATCTCACTATTAGCTTAATAGAACCTATCGCGTGAGGACTAATATTAATGAACCTAAAAAGAATTAGAACGAAATTAAGTAACCTTGAATTAAATAGGTAGTCGGGAATCAATACACGTAATTAGAAAATAACTAAATGGAAAAACCAGAGAGATAGAGAAAAGTGGAGATAAGTCATATTTAAAGTAGGAGGTAGTATGGTTAATAACAATGGAAATGATAAATTGAGTAGTGTTAATATAGTAAGTTAATGTAATAGGATTTGGGTGGGAAAATCTGAGAGGGTTGTGTCAAAATCATTGAGAATTATGTGTTGGGAAATAGTGGATGTGCATTGGTGGGATTGGAAGTTTGTGTGTGATTCCTAAACCTTATTGTTTAACAAATTTATGCTAGATGAGAAAGTGAATAGTGATTGAGCAGGCCTTGTGAGGGCTTTGTTTCTGTGCTTGAATTCCATATGACCCAAGATTGAGAAAACGTTGAGGAGAGAAAGGAGAATCATACTCCATGCATCATAACATTTCTTTGGAATGACTTGATGGCATAACAGAGGCACAGCTGTAGGTATTGGAGGTTCGGTCCCGAGTAGACCTACGGGGGTGGCGAAAGGGGGAACAGTCGACCTAGATGGTGCAGCAGAGCTCTCTGTGGCCGGGTCGTGACCCTACTTGCAAGCCTTAGCCAAGCTCGACAAGAACTCCACATCCTAGGGTCGTTGAGGTCCATTCCCGAAGAGACCCAGTTTGGGGCCAGCACCAGTTTGGGTGTTTTTGAATAATGATGTAAATTCTTTTCTGTGCGATTGTGATGCAGGGAATGGAGTCCTCCGATCGCCATACGACTTGGATATGAAATTGTGAACTCTACACTAAATGCTGGGCAAGTCGCTGGCAGTAGAGTAAGGGATCCCCATGCATACCATGTGCATTAACACGAAAATTTGAGGGATGGATAGTGAGAGACGAAACTTGCATTCATGCATCATGAGCATTATTAGTTTGATGAACCTAGGAATTATCTGTGAGAAGTATGAACCGACCTATATTGTATTGATGTTTGTTCTGAGATTGGATAATGATGTGACTTGAGTGATGGTGTGAAAAGCCACCTTCCTTGGGGTACGGCTATTGAATGTTTGCTTGTGTTTGGAGAACTCACCCCTGTTTGTGTGTGTTGTTGTACTTTTGTATATGTCTTGTACAGATGACCAACTTCCGAGTAAAGGTATGGATCCTGCCATCTGAGGAGGACGTTTGAGTGTTCGACGCGGCAGCACAGCAAAGCATCTTCCATGGAATGGCACGGGTGATTCATGGACAAGATGTCGGACACTCGTGGACCACCCACTTTATGGTTGACACCCCCATCGAGCTTGTTTTCTCCACCCCACCTGGAGACTCCCACCTACCTTATCCTGCACTTGCAGCTACTCCTTCTCCCATGTCTGTTGATCCCCGTACTCCCAGTTCTAGACCAGTACCTACGCCTGTACCATTCCCTACTGAGGAACCTACTCCACCCCCTGTGACCACTGAGAGAGATACATATATGGCAGAACCCTTAGTGAGGAATGATGATGTACTGCCCCACATGCTCCCTACCTACCCAAACACTTATTCGCCCTTTACCACAGTTCATTCACCACCTCGCACTGCTGGATGGATTGTAGAGGACGCAGAGGACGCTGCTTCTTCTAGCTCTGCTTCCCTGACATCTTCTGAGGAGTCCGATCCCATTGAGGATTATTCTCCTCTCGACTGATTGGGATAGTTTGTCTGTTGTTATTTTTAGGGAACTGCTCTTAGGGAGTCAGTCTGTTTCATTCCATGTATCTCTGAACTATGTTGATTTTGTGCATTTTAATTATGTCATTTTATCTTATCAAGGTGTAGTACTCTGAGATTATCACTAAATATTTCCCTATCTATTGCATGAGGTTATTCAGTTATGATGGAGCATTATTGTTGTGATTGTTGTTTTACTTAGTTTTGATATTGTACGTTGAGACCACAAATCTCTAAACAGAAATGTGATATACTAGAGGTGAATTCAAAGAATGTGTTATCCTTCCGCTTCTCCTGTTTCAAAAAAAAAAAAATCCTGTTATTTTTAGGCGTCACACCATTGCTTGAGGATTTTACTATCACAAGAGAGTATAGTTGGGGAGCGGTAGCATTGGCATTTCTATACCGGGAGTTATGCATGTCGACCAATATTGACCGTTCTGGTATTGGAGGATTAACCCCACTACTTATGATGTGGGCATTGGATAGGTTTCCATTTTTACAGCCTAATAATCCTCAGCACACACGACTGGATCTTCCTTACGTTGCACGGTATG